CATTCAAAAGCAGGAAGCAATATAGATTTAGTTACTTACCCTTAGTCTAGTCCAGTTTTAAAGGTTTGTGAAAATTAAAAATTATATTTAGTAATGCTCAAGTGGAACCCACTAAACCAAAATATTTTAACATTTAATTAGTATTTTAAAAATTATTTTAAAAGAGATTCCCCCCCCCCCCCACACACACACACCTCTTTTGTTGTTTTTCTAGACAGGATTTTTATGTGTAGTCCTGGTTGTCCTGGAACTTACTCTGTAGAGTAGGCTGACCTTGAACTTACACAGATCCACCTGCCTCTGTCTCCCAAGTGCTGGGATCAAAAGTGTGTGCCACTGTTATGCCCACATATCTCTGTTATGCTAGCTCTTTTAAATTCATTTTCTCCGACTAGTCTGAGGATCCAATCCTGGGCTCTGTACATGCTACAGAAGCACTCTACCACTGAGCCACACCCCAGCCTTTTAGGGCTTAATACTTAGAAAGTGCCTCAGTTTACCCACTGATTTTCAGGTGTTTAACATGCGGCCAATTGCTACATGCCATGCAGCACACATGTTGAGCAGACAGATTATAACGTTATACTTGCTCAGTATGCACAAGAACCCCGGTTCAATCCCCGGTTCAATCCCCCGGTTCAATCGGAAGCTCAACAAAACAGAAACTGTTTCTTCTCTGTTTTTAATGTCTTCTCCTTTTGTATGAGCTTTCTTCTTTCTGCATTGTTTCAGGTTAGCATACAAACCATTGGGTACTGTCAGGGTATCTTCATAGAAAAGTGTCAACTGTATACAAAGTATACTGTTTTCAGCCCCTCCCTCTGCCCCTCCTGCCTCCAACTGGTTTCTTTTCTTCCCACATGCAGTGCCCACTTCTGCTTTCTTTTAAGCCCATCACTTAGTCCCCTCCCCCTCCCTTAAAATCTCTTCCTCCTGTATATCCCCTTGTCACAGTGAGTTAGAGTTCACATAATTGTTGAGGCCTTTGGCTTCCAATTACAGAGAAGTGTGTCACCATTTCATGAGCTTAAGCCTTTGAACCTCTCCTTTTTCTCCACAGTATGAAAAGGCTTTCTCGCCTAAGTACCTGCAGAACTGGTCTCCTGCCAAGCCAACAAAAGAGGTAATCGGAGCTCAGTGCCCTCCGGGGACAGTTTATGATGACTGGCCTCATGTTCTCCCAGTCACCCAACTCCTTTAGCCTTCTAATGGTCCACCTTCTCCTCCACCAAACCCTTACTCCAAGCCCCTCAGACACTTCGTTTTCCTCCCCTCTTTCACTTCAAATGCTTTTCTTTCCATCTCCACCACAGAGAGCCAGTACCCATGAAGGTTACACTCAAATTATTGCCAACGATCGAGGCCATCTCTTGCCTTCAGTGCCCCGTTCCAAGGTGAGATTCCCCATCCATTCTTTCATATCAAAAAGGTGTTAGCCAGGTGTGGTGGTGCACAACTTTAATCCCAGCACTCAGAAAGCAGAGACAGGAGGATCTCTGTGAGTTTGAAGTCAGTTTGGTCTACATAGTGAGTTCCAGGCCAGAGAGGACTATATAGAGAGATGCTGTCTCAAAACAAAACAAAAAGCTGATGCATAAAAACAGAGCTACAGTCACTGTATAGAAAACCAAAGTCCAATCTAAGTGCTCCACCCTTCTATCCAGTGCATCCACCAGCACAGAGCTGTGCTTAGTACATGGAAGTCCCGAAAATGTCTTAGTGTCATCAGATGGCAATACTTATGTTATGCATGGGACTCATTTATCACACTTAGCCTAAGAATGCAAAATTTAGGTTGGAAGGAAAGGGGCTAAAGAACAGCATTGTGACTGACTAGAGAGAAGAAGAGTAGGGAAATGGTCATTATTAAGATGCCAAAGGGACAGAATGGATGTGAAACCAGCAAGCACTGCTAAGGAGACACTTAGCAGCCATGAGGACCAGCTAAACAATCCTTTTTTCTTTTAGGCAAGTCCCTGGGGTTCCTACATGGGCACCTGGCAAATGCCCCTGAAGGTACCACCTGCTCGGGTGACCTTGACCTCCCGCACAACTGCTGCCGCCACCTCCCTCACCAAATGGATACAGAAGAATCCTGATCTACTCAATGCTTCCAATGGGCTTTGTCCTGAAATCTTAGGCAAGGTATCTAGCCTTCCATCTAACCCAAACCCCTGCTGTCTCCATGTCTCTTCAACCTCAGAACTGGTATGCCGATCCAACAAGAGGAGGGACCTCTAACCATTTCTGTCTTGTGCTGTCTAGTCCCTAATCGCTGAGGTCTAAAGGAATCTTGTTTCCCACCCCTACCCTAGCAGAAAATAGTCTCCACTCAACCTTGACTTTCTTCTGCCCATGGTGTAGGAAGGAAGGGAGTTGGATTCTGAAGCTGACTGGGGATTATCTGGGCCTAACCAGATATATGATCTTTTCCACTCTAACCCAACAGCCCCACGACCCTGATAGACAGAAGAAACAGAAGAAATCTGTCACAAAGACTGTACAACAAGCAGCAAATCCCACCATAATTCCCAGCTCCCCAGCTATGGATGGTGACAACGAAGATGAAACTCAAAGCTCACACCCCTCTGCAGGCCACACACCAGGTCCCCAAACTCCAATTAACTCTCCCAAGACCCAACCTGCAAGCCCATGTTAGAATATCAGCAGGTAGGTCCTAGTGTAGCTGAGATCAAGACATGCAAAGCTACAGTTCTGCAGGGGAAGAGCCTGAGATGACATTTTAGGGACTGACTGGAATAAGGAGGACCCTGTATTGAGAAATGTGGATCAGAGAAATGATGGGCCAGGAGTAAAGGCAAATTTGGGCAAATAAACATTGTTTGTTAAATCTTTTACTGACCTCATTTTCCTCATTCTATGACTGTCTTTTGTAATCCATAGTTAGAAGGAAGGCTGGGGAAGAGCAAAGAAAGGATTTCTCTGTGTAGCCCTGGCTGTCCTGGAACTCACTCTGTAGACCAGGCTGGCCTCTGGCTCCCAAGTGCTGGGATCAAAGATGTGCAAGGCCGCCGCCACTGCCACCACCACCACCCAGCAAGCAAGCCTTAAGGAAGAATGTCAGTTACACTTCAGCAATGACCAAGAGGAAGCTGGTCTGCATCACACAAGGGCAAACCTGAGGAGAATGGAGCTATGTACAACCAATATCTTCACAATCACAAGTAAAGTTGTTTAGAACATGTGAAACTTTTTATGTTTATCCATTTACTTAATGAACATATGTAGGTGTGCCTCAAGCTTATGGAGGTTGAAGGAAAGTTAGTTCTCTCCTTCTGCCAAGTGGATCCTGGGGATTGAACTCAGTCAGGTCATCGGGCTTGGTGGTTGGAGCATATACCCACTGTGCTATCTTGGATCGATCAGCTCATTAGAAAGAGAAAAAGGCCAGGTGTTGCACTTCTTCAATCACTGGCTAGTTAAGAAGCCAGCAAGAGTGTAGAAGTCCACACCCATCTCCCAGCCTCCAAATCTGCTCCCGTTGCCTCTGCCAAGTCTAAAGCCAAAGGTTTCCCCCCACATGAACACTGACCCTACTCAAAGAACAACCTCGAAGACAGCTGACTCAAGCTGGAGGGACTCTACACGACCTCCCTAGACAGTCAGACGTGGTGGCATAGTCCTGCAATTCTAGCTGAATGGGGGGCTAAAGCAGGTAAACCATCAGTTCAAGGCCTACCAGGCTTTAAGTAACTTGGTAAGGAGGGCTGTCTCAAAGTAGAAAACAAAACACAGACAAACAACAACAAAAAAGATGGGGGCTGGGCCTATGGCTGTGCTTGCCTAGCATTAATGAGCCCTTAAGTTCAAACAATCCTTAGCAATGTAAGACTCTCCAGGGCCTGTCTAGAAAAAATGGGCAAGTGATCGTTACTTAAGGCCAAAGACTACTTGAGAGCAGGAACAGAGACGGCTGAGAGCTGAGAGTGCACTCACAGCAAAAGCAAGATCACACCACCTGGAGGGCAACCTGGGTTAAGAGTTCTAGGCCAGGCAGGGATACATGATGAGGCCCTTTCTCAAAAGATTTCAAGGGACTGCTTAAGCAATCCCCACCCCCACGCCATCACTGAGTACATGTCGTCTTGTTCAATTGCCATGTCATTCTTCAACCCACTGCTTTGACTGATCTCTTGGAGTAGTGCTTTTCCTGGCCTGGGATATTGAACCTCTGGCTTTGTGCATACTACCATGGAGCCAAATATCTAGTTCCAAGATGAATCTCCTATTCCAGAGCTGGAAAAACTATCAAAATAGCACTCCAGACAAGGGACTAGTTCAGTGGTACAGCGCTTGTTAACATGTACAAGGACCTCACACCACAGACGAAGCACTTCTGCTAAAGATTCAGAGTCCCAATAAGGGTAAAATAGCAAGTTTCCCCATTATATGTCTTTCCTAGGATTGACACCCCACAACCCTGCTCCACTTTTAAAAATTATCTAACTCCCCACACCCACCTCCCACCTGTAGGTCATTAGTCTTCAACTGTCACCTCCACTGGTGCTAGGTGTCCTTAAATGCAGTATCTACTGAACTGTACCATGAAGTATAAAACTAGCTTTGCACAGAATGGGAGGTGACCTTGTAAGACCTTAAAATCTCTCAACAGAGCCAGCCAAAGGCGCACGCCTTTAATCCCAACACTCGAGAGGCAGAGGCAGGCAGATCTCTATAAGTACAAGGCCAGCCTGGTCTACAGAACAGAGAAACCTGGGCTAAAAAGGAAAGAAACCAAACCAAAACAAAACAAAAAGTCGCAACATGCTTACTGCCCCTCTCTGCTCTTCTGAGGCCTCCTTGTAAGACCCAAACCTCTTCACTCAGTTTCCAACCCCCCCCCCCAGTGGTTGGATGTAGGACAAACTATTTCCATCCTGAGAAAAGTCATAGTTTAGGGTGTAAATGTCCAAGACCCACTGGAAGGGGGGCAAATGAGATTCTTTCTATTAACCCTCACCAGATTTCAGAGTCAAACATGAAATGAGTAGTATTTTAATCGTTTCCAAAGATGATGGTACAAGAATTTAGATTAGAAAATATGTGTGTGTTTCACTAGAAGTGAAAAAACAGAACAGAAAACACATTTTTTTTGGATCTTAATCATCAAAAGCTCTGTATCTTTCCCAAGGGTGAGCTCCCAGGATCCATCTCGCTCTTTACCTCCCTCCAGCTGGGCAGAGCCATCCCCTCCACCTTCACCTCTCTTCTCCCAGTCACACTGTGTGGGTGCTGAAGGCCCTGAGCTGACCAATGAACAGAACTATCCTTTAAGACAGCAGCCCTCAGGCAGTGGCACCCAGGGCAGCCACAGGACTGGCTTTGTTTCCACTGCCTCAGCAAGAAGGAGTCGAAAGCTGACCCTCAGCATGAATCAAAGTCAAATGTGGAGAGGGAGTAAGGGCTCCAGGCCCAGGGAAAATGACCTTTTTCTACTACTACAGTTCTTCAAGCCTCTCTACTGTGCTCTAACGGGCTCTAAAACACATGGAATCTAAACAAATGAGGGGAACCTTGGTGGCTGGGATACGAGTGATAGATGGGAATATAATTCAGCGTGATAGTGTACAGGACAACGATGGGAATTTCAGCTCTTCACAAGGCTGCCAGCCCTACAGAGGACAGCACTGTAAGAACCAAGACAGCCACTCCAGACTGCTGGACCTGGGGGATCGACAGGCCTTTCCCTAGGTCCCACATCTGTAGAAAAAAAAAGAGGGAAAGTTTTTACTTTTAGTAATTAGAACCCCAGTCACTCTTACAATTCCTGCTGAATGAGTACCCTCTACAGGATTCCAGAGCAAGTACATCCCTATGCCCCAAGTTCACGCTTCTAAAAGTCACAATACGGTACCTACCACTTCCCCAGTGACTGAAAATCAAGTCCTCCCATGTGGCAGTGAGTGATATCTCAGTGAATGTTCTCCAGAATGCCAAAGGCCCTTTATACAACAGCCTCCAGACTGTACAGATACAACATCCTCTTCCCACATGACAGCACACTTAGACCACTGTTTCTAGAAAGATGTTCCGGCAAAACTTGGTTTTGTTTTCTGAGATGGAATCTTGTATAATCCAGATTAGTCTAGAAGTCACCATGTAGCCCAAGGTGAACGCAATTCAAGGTCCTCCTGCTTACGTTTCCTAAGAGCTGAAATTATAGGCACTCCCCATGTCTGGCCCAAACATATTTCTGCACAGTGTAGGGCATTATGTGGAGGTGAAGTTCTGTGGTGATAAGAATTTGGTAAACACACAACTTGCAAGATTCTCAAGCAATTCCCTAATGCAGCCTGAGACTCTTCAGCAGAGTCAATCACAGAGTTCTTTAGGGAGTATGCAACCTCAAGGGCTGATATTCTAAAGCATATACTCTGGGACCTAGAATTAATGCTTTCCCTTCTTTCTCCTCTGTGGAGATGGGATCTCATAGATCCCAGACTGGTTTTGAACTCATCGTGCAGCAAAGAAAACCCTGAACTTCTGATCCTCCTTCCTTCATCTTCTGCGTGCTCGGATTACAGTTCCCAGTTTATGTGGTGCTGGGGAACAAACCTGGGGCTTTTTACATGTGAGGCAAGCATTGTACCGATCTCTCTCTCTCTGTCTCTCTCTCTCTGTCTCTCTCTGTGTGTGTGTGTGTTTCTCTGTGTAGCCTTGGATGTCTCGGAACTTGTTCTATACACCAGGCTGGTCTCAAACTCACAGAAGTGGTGGGATTAAAAGCGTGTGCTACCAACTGCCCAGCTTGGTTTTTTTTTTTTTTTTTTTTGACATGATCTCCTATATATTCCTGGTTGGCTTGGAACTCCGTTAAGTAAACCAAATTGACTTCAAGTTTATAGGAATCTGCCTGCCTGAGTATGGGATTAAAGACATGCATCTCCCCCTCCAAGCAGGATCTTAACTTTCAATTTCTTTCTTTCATTCTCTCCCATCCAGGACTTCCCTATACTGACCTAGGATACACTCAAATTTCTAGGCTCAAGAGATCCTCCAACCTCAGGTTCTTAAACAGCTGGGATCAAGGCACTTATTATAACCATGCCTGACTCTCAAAAGCTTTTTTTTTTTTCCCCACTAAAAATAAATATCCTTTAAATTGTAGCAAGTAGAAATGTATATATAGTACAACTTTATGAACATTTAAATTCCTTCACCTTTTCAGTCTTCATCTGTTTTTGTTGGTATTAATCCATTGAGTGGTTGTCTACCCAATGGGTCAAAGGCCACATTTTTTTTAATGTGGCCTTTAATATTCCACTAAAAATGGAGGGCTGTATCTTAGTGGTAAGACGCTTGCCTTTTATGTACAAACTTGAGTTAGACCTCCAGCACCAAAAAGAAAACAACAAAACCAAAGTCTAGACTCTCACATTCTCTCAGGTTATGAACAATTAGGGCAATGGTTCTCAACTTGTGGGTAAAGACCCTTTTTTTTGGGTGGGGGGCTCCAGGGACTTTTTACAGGGGTCAAATATCAGGTATCCTGCTTATCAGATATTTACATGATGATTCATAACAGTAACAGAATTACTGTTATGAAGTAGCAACAACAATTTTATGGCTGGGGGGGTCACCACAACATGAGAAACTGCATTAAAGCACTAAGAAGGTTGAAAACCACTGCTCTGGGGCAAAAAAGCAGTGTTCAGATTTCAAACAGCATACAAAGCAGCCTCAACAAATACTAACACATGATACTCTACAGTCTGACCATAAAACTGACTGAGTTAGGAGTCACTTGCAGAGAAGTACTGGAGGAAGCTCAGAAAGAAATCAAGTGGAGAAGACACGCCCACATCAATGCCCAGCTAGCTTCTACCTGGATGACCTGAAGTGCTGAGCAGATTCCACACAGAGCAGTTTTGCTCTCAGAGGCACAGTGCTTCATGAGACACCGAGTCCTGCTGGGTAGTAGTGTAGGAGAAGCCTCCAGAAGGCAGGTCAGAGGCCCTACAGCTCCTCTTTTGTAACCATACCATTTCCCTGACCTGGTAGATTCTAAGATACTTAATTTCATGGCAAACCGTTTAAAGCCTGACCTTCACCCAGAGCTAGTGCTTGTTAGGAGGAGAATATAAAAATAAATTTAGGGTTTAATTAAAGCCTTTAGGTGGCTCACTTATCTCAACAAAGAGATTAGCACAGTAGGTAGGAACCAGGGCAGAAAGCCTGACTTCTAGGGTGCCAGGTGACCCCTAAGTCCAATTCCATATTAAGACAAAAACAGACAGAAATAAGCCCCAGCCTGAGCCGGGATGTGAAGCCTTCAGCTGATTTTCTTTACCGGGTTTCGTTCTGTGGAGTCAAAAGCCATCAATGAAACTGCATCCCCTCTCCACTGTCTCCCTGAGGGACAGAAGCCACTGCAGATCAGACTGAACACTGCTCCAGGGAACACTTCATAAATACACTTAATTTAATAGATCATTTAGTCTCTCACTTTTTTGTTTGTTTGTTTCATTCAGCTGTCTATTGGACCAGACTGAAATCCATAAGATGTTTACCTTTGAGGATGGCTCTGACATGGAGGTTATAAAAGACCAAACTAAGGCAAAATCATCCAACTGACATTTTGCTTGGCTTCAGAAATAATGGAAGACTGGAAAAATAAATTTTAACTATTTATTGGAGAAAGATGCAAGAGTAGGGATCACATATGAACTCTTAAAATGCTCACACTTGCCAGGCAGGAAGATGATGAGTTTAAGGCCCACCTGGTTACAGAGTGAGGACCAGGGCAGCCTGGGCAATTCAGTAAAGCCCTGTCTGAAAATATAACAGTAATTTGGGTATGTTCAAGGCCAGCCTTGAGTACACAGCAAATTTATAGCCAACCTAGGTTTTATGAGATCCTGTCTAAAAAAGCCAAAAATAAATAAACCAGACATGGTAGCATTCACTTATAATCCCAGCAGTTGGCAATTTGTAGTTAGAGGTGGGAGAATAAGAATTTCAAGGTCATTGTTGGCTAAATAGTGAGTTTGAGGTCGATCTTCTTAAAAAAAAAAAAAAAAAAAAAAAAAAAAGGAGGGGCTGGAGAGACAGCTCAGCGTTAGGAGCACTGCCTGCCCCTCCTGAGGATCCAGGTTTGGTTCCCAGCACCCGCAAGTCGGCTCATAACCACATCCTCTTCTGGTTTCCACCGGCCCCAGGCATGCACACAGTTGGCACACAGACATACATGCAGGCAACACACCATACAGACAAAATACAAATAAATTTTTAATTGATAAACTGTTTTAAAAGGACGGGAGATGTAGCTATGTAGTAGAGTGCTTCTTTAGCGTGCACAAGAGCCTGGGTTCAGTAGCACACTAACAAGCCACAACACAACAAGCACAAAAACCACCCGAGAGTCCTTGGCACCTGGCTTATGTTTGCTCTTATTCTCTCCAGTTACTCAATACAACTTCAAGTGAGGATACTTGAGTCTACCCAGACTCGTCATTCTGGGTAGAAAGGAATGTTACACTGAAAACAGTAACTGCTTATCTAGCTCACAATTAAATTCCCAGTGTCAAAAAATAGTGCTTGATGATTCACAGGTACCAGTTCATCTTTATCTACTAGATATGTCTTCTTTGCCAGGTCCACTTGCAGGTGTCATTTAATAATTATATGCCCTTTAAAAGTGGGAAAGTGCACAATGATCCCTTTCAGTACTGGCCTAACCCACACTCATAAAGGAATGTGGGAGGGACATTGTCTAGCTCTCCCCAAAAGGACTTGAGTAAAGATTCAGCACAATTAGCCTTAAGAATGGTACAAGAGGGCTGGCAAGATGGCTCAGGAAAAGGCACTTGTCAAGCCTGACAACCTAAGTGCAAGCCCCTGGACCACTGTATGAGTAATAAATAATTAATAAAAACAGAGAGACAAGGTTGGGCCATGCATTGTGCTCATGTTTATAACCCCAGCTCCTGGGATGCAGAGTCACAAATTCAAGGCTACTCTGGTCTACAGAGCATACTCCAGGACAGCCAGGGTGACATAGTGAGAGGTCCTGTCTCAACAAGCAAATGAAGGATAGCTCTAAGATTAGAGGTATAGCTTGTGCAAGACTTTGGGTTCAGTGACACGAACATCAAAAAAAGGGGGTGGGAGGAAGGAAAATGTAAAAGAACACTGAGAAGTAAAGGAGCGGACCCTCCCAGCCTTCCCACTCCCTTTATCCAGGACACGTACAAATCCACAATGAACTTACCAAGTGTCGGATCCCATTCCATGTGTGGTACATGAGAGGGAAGACAAGCACAAACTTAGCTGAGTGGATCAGTGCTGGCCCCAAACACAGGGACTTCACAAACATCAAATAAGATTCAAAGTTCCCAGGAAGCAGCAGTGCCGATAGGCCAAAGAGAGAGACCCCTGGGAGAAAAGCAAGCCTCCCGTCAGTTACAGGTAATGTATGTATTAAACCAGGTTCTGTGACAGCTCTTGACACCCGACTCAACTCTAGACCACTTTGAAATAGAAAAAACTTAGGCCAGGGATATAGTTTAGTTGTTAAAAAGCCCTGGGTTTGAAACTAAGATCACATAAAAACCATGAATAGGACAGAGACTGAAGAGATGGCTTAGCAGTTACAAGTGCATACTGATGTTGCACAGAAGCTGAGTTTGATTCCTCAAAACCACACTGTAGCCTACACCACCTGTAACTCCAGCTTCAGGGGAATTAAACACCTCCAGCCTTTGAGGGTACCTGTACTCACGTGTTCATACCCCCTACAAATACATACACATAATTAAAAATAACAAAATTAAAATGTTTTATAAAACACGGAGAGATGGCCCAAAAGTTAAGAGCACTGGCTCCACTTAGAGAGGACCTGAGTGTAGTGAAATATCATGCCCTCAAGTGGCTGTTAACACCATCTGTAATTTCAGTTCTATGGAGCCAATGACTTCTGGCCAATCTGATCACCAGGTACACACACCGCACAGCCATGCATGAAGGAAAAACACTTATACACATAACTGTAAAGAATTAACAAAACATGTATGGTAGCACATGTTTATAATCCCAGCACTTGAGAGATAGAGGGAGGAGGATTAGAAGTTCAGGACTGCTGGGAGTGGTGGTGCATGCCTTGGATCCCAGCACTCAGGAAGCAAAGGCAAGAGCATTTCTGTGAATTCAAGGTCAGCCTGGTCTACATAGTACATTCCAGTACAGCCAGAGCTACATAATGGGACCCTATCTTAAAAAAAAAAAAAAAAAAGGTTCAAGACTATATTTCAGGTTTGAGGCTACTCTAGGTTATATGAAACCTATTTAAAACAAAACAGAAACTCAAAAAAAAAAAAAAAAAAAAAAAAAAAAAAAAAAAAAAACAGTGGTGGAGGTAGGACAGAGCTGGAGAGATGGCTCAGTGGTTAAGAGCACACTGCTCTTCCAGTGGACCCAATGGGTGTTCATAACTGCCTGAATACCTTTTTCAAGGGATCCTGCTTCCATAGAATGTGGCGTGTGTGCTCACACGATGCACACACACAGCTCAGATTTTATATCTCATGTTATGGTGAGAGAGCCTGATGACTTGGCTCAGAAGCGCACTGTTAGCCTAGCATGGATGTGACTCTGGGTTTAATCTCCGGTTTCCAGCACCAGGAAAAAGGTTTGTGGTGAAGGGCAGGCAGGCTACTAGGACTCTCATGGTAAAACCAGATAGCAGTATGATGAATTACTCCCCCTTCTAACATCCCTCACAACTAAAATAAAAACAACCCTCCCTGACAGTTTAGAAGTCACCTTATTGCTGGATCAGTAAGGAAGACTGCTGAGTCTGGAGTCAGCCTGGCCTACATGAGTTCCAGTGTAGGCTCATGTGAAAATTACTTAAGACATTAAATCTGAGGTTTCCTAAATCTTCCCTGGTGTCTAATATATGAGGTCAGGGAACAGCCCCTCTGATGGGAGCAGAAAAACCATACTCGTTACACCCCTCTAAACCTCTCCTAGAACCTGGTGCCAGCACAGCAGCTGAGGCTGCCCCACCAGGTCACCAGGAAATGCCAGCCCTGTAGGCTCTAATGTCTGTAAAGCATTATGTAGTGCTGTGTGATTGTCAGCAAGTGTTCTTCCACATCTAGAAGTTGCAAAGACTCTTTCAAATACTTCCTCCTAGAAAGGCCTGCAATAAAAATGAAAGCACCTAAAGAACTCTGGGGAGCCAAGTAACCATCAAAACTCGGCTTGTTAGTACCCTGTTATCTTTATCTACAGCATTGTTACACTAATCATCATGGGAATACAGACACCAAAACAAAGTACTCACAACTACAAAGGACTGAGAACACAATTTTTTTTTTCCAAGACAGGGTTTCTCTGCATAGCTCTGTAGACCAGGCTGGCCTGGAACTCACAAAGATCTACCTGCCTCTGTCTCCCAAGTGCTGGGATTAAAGGTGTACACCACCACCGTCCAGCAAGAACACAATTTTCAAACTACAAATGATCAGACATTTTCTGAGATGGCCAAGATTAACTCTGCCAATTATTAATATAAACAATAATCAGCACAGCCTATATTCAGAATTATATGTAGCTAATTAAATTCTGTCATAAGGAGGCATAACAAATGAAAAGAATGATAACCTAGGGAATCTCAAAGGAGACAGGAACTCTTTTTATTGTTGCTTGAGACAGGATCTCACTATGTAGACCAGGCTGGCCTCAAATTCAGAGACTGGACTGCCTCTGCCTCCTGGGTGCTGAGATTAAAAGCATGCATAACTATGACCAGCTGGGAATTCTTGATGCATTTTCTACAGAATAAAGCTTACCTGGTTGTTTTCTTTTTTTATTACTTTTAAAAGATTTATTTTATTTTACTTATGTGTATGGGGTTTTGACGGTATATGTGTACCAATTGTGAGCCTGGTGTCCATGGAGGTCAGAAGAGGGGGCTGGATCCCCTGCAACTAGAATTACAGATGGTATGGACTACCATGTCTATGCTGGGGACCAAACCCAACCCCAGTCCTTGACAGGAGTACCAAGTGCTGCTGAGTACTGTGGGAATATGGGACTCAGAATTAATTGTTAAAGGAATGAATTAATGAAAAGCTTAGAGGAAGCTGGATGGTGGTGGCACACACCTTTAATCCCAGCAGATAGGAGGCAGAAGCAGGCAGATCTCTCTGAATTTGAGGCCAGCCTGGTCTACAGATCGAGTTCCAGGACAGCCAGGGCTACACAGAGAAACTGTCTTGAAAAAACAAACAAACATCTAATCTTAAAGGGACTTACATTCCCTATAAATCAAGTTACTGAGGGAGAAAGGAGGCAAGGAAGAGAGTCAGAGAAAAAAGCAGTTCTTCAGAGATCTGCATGCACACACGTGTGTGTGAATATATATACATACCTCCACTTAAGGCCACACCAGTGCCTCGGTGGCAAATGGACATTGCCATGGGAAGAGACCAACTACAAAGAAACACACAAAGACAATTTTAAAAAACAATGAGAAGTTGTTTTCTTCTTATCTTTTTTAGGATGACATAATATAAAAACAAAACAAGAAATAAAAACAAAAACAAAAACCATCTTGGGATGGAGAAATGGCTTAAAAGTTAAGAACACTTGTTACTCTTGCAGAAGACTTGGGGATGGTTCACTACCATCTGTAACTCCAGTTCTAAGCCCCAAGGGACCAAGTATACATTTGGTATATACAACTGCATGAAGGCAAAACATTCATACACATAAAATAAATCCTTAAAAACAAAAACCAAGAAAATTCCACCTAGTTTTCACATTCCTATTTCTACCTTTTAATTTAAAAATAAGAAGTTTGACTGAATATACAGCTCAGTGGTAGAATGCTTATATACCATGCATGAGGCCCTGGGTTCAATCCATTGCAAAAAAGAACAAGGCCGGGCGTTGGTGGCACACGCCTTTAGTCCCAGCACTCAGGAGGCAGGCATGCGGATCTCTGTGAGTTTGAGACCAGTCTGGTCTACAAGAGCTAGTTCCAGGACAGCCTCCAAAGCCACAGAGAAACTTTGTCTTAAAAAAAAAAAATTATTTACTTAAAAAAGTATCCAAAAAAAAAAAAAAAAAAAAAAAAAAAAAGCCAGACACAATTAGTTCCAGTACAGCTAGGGCTACACAGAGAAACTCTGTCTTGAAAACCAAACCAAAAGTAAATAAATTAGTAAAAACATAAAGTATCTCTTGGGGCTAGAGAAATGGCTCAGCAATTAAGAACACTTGCTCCTTTTGCAAAGGTCAGAGGTTCAGTTCCCAGCACCCATAACATGCAACCCAGCTCCAGGGTGCCTAGTACCTTCTTCTGGCCTCTGTGGACACTGGGTATGCATAAAAAAAATTATACATATCAAATAAAAATAAATCTTTTTTAAAAGTTATCCCTTGATTTTACAAAATCACATCACTGCTACCGTTAAGAAGAGGAAACAAATACAACTCTAACTCTTTTTGCCAGGGTCCCCATATTGGTACCCATTAGAGTTTGTACAGTTAGACAGCAATCATGCTGGTTGTGGTAACTCATGCCTGTAACCTCAGGGCTACACAGGGAGACCCTGTGTCAGGAAAAAAGGCCAATCTGAACTATATAGGACTCTATTTCAAAACAAAGAAACAGAAAAAAAAGTATGATGTTAGCTACTTCAGGCATCTTTCCTTGATGTATTATTTAGGAAATAGCTCCACATTTCCTACTGTTTTTTGTTTGTTTGTTTGTTTGTTTGTTTTATTTACATGAGAAGTTCCATAAATGGACCTAATGTCATTTTTTTTTTCATATGACTTGTAAAGAAAGACCAGGTCTATTTGGAATTGTCTCCATCCTTGTAACTCTACCCTCCCAAATCCCCCTATCATTTTTTGAGACAGGCTCTCACCATTTGTCTTTAAAAAGATTTCACTACAGAATACTAAGATCATTTACTAACCTTCTGTTAGGTTGAAATATCCAATTTCTACAATTAAAATTATTTCTGGAATCTGAGCTAGAAAAAAATCCTGAAGGGTTGTGGTATTTGTGGAGGTGGTTAAAAAAATGGCCAGTATCCCCTGGCAGGAACCCAAGTAAAGAGGGTAGCAAAGCTCAAGATGCTTTGCTGAGTTAGTGTTTATTTTTAATTTTAAAAAAAGATTTACAGGAATTCTCTTAGAAGACAAAAACAAAATCAGCTAGCATTTCTACTTCCGAAAACAAGAGGCGAACAAATGTGTGCATGTGTAAATACATACATAGCCCCATACACACTCACACATGCACACACACGCACACGCACAGGGTGTTGGGAGGTGACTGCAAACACAGTATATTATCTTAGTTCTAGCCAATGAGAGGACGGAAAGTCAATGATGTGCTGGCAGCAACGAGCACGGCTAACATATTGATGCCATACTGAAGGACTCCTAGTAGCCACAGCTAGAACAATTTGAGCATCAAGATAAACAATGACTGTAAAAGAGTATAACTTTTGTGCAAAATAGGAATCCTTGAAAGGAAGCAAGGTTTGCCCTACAGAAAGAAAAAAGTCTAAAGAATATGTGCAATAAGACAAGTATGGTGGTACTCAACCTGTAATCTCAGTGTCTGGAAATGGAAGCAGGGGGATAAAAAATTCAAGGCCAGCATCAGTTACACACTGAATCTGAAGCTAGCCTGAGTTACATAAGACCCTGTCCAAAACAAATAACTCAACTAGTTAGTAAGTCATGAAGCCAAGAGATGTACATGGCCTCTAGAAAACAGAAACTGCAAAAACAAATGAATCTCCCCTAGAGTCAAAGGAAAAGAACACAGCATTTGTTAACATGTTTATTTACTCAAGAATATTTCATTTATCAATTTAGTGTGCCATGGAACATAAAATAAAATGCAGGTCAGAGGACAACTTTTGGAAGTCAGTTCTCTCCTTCTACTGTGTAGGAGCAGAGGGTCAAACTAGGTCGTCAGGCTTAGCTGCAAGAACCTCAATCTACTGAATCATCTTCTCAGCCTGGTAACTTTAATTTCAGCTGAATGGAACAAGTCACATTTCTAACAGAAGTGCAAAAGTATTAATTTGTGTGTGTTTTTTATAGCCCAGGCTGGCCTTGAATTGGCTATCTAACTGAGGATGGGGCTAAACTCCCGATCCTCCTGCCTCAACATCCCAAGTGCACCACCTTGATCAGCCTCAAACAACAATTTTTTGTTTTGTTTTTTGCTGTTTGAGGCAGGTTTGCTCTGTGAAACAGTCCTGACTATCCTGGAACTCACTTTGCAGACCAGGCTAACCTTGAACTCACAGAGATCTGCCTGCCTCTGCCTCGTGAATGCTGGTATTAAAGACGTGTACCACTATGTCCGAACTTCAAACAGCAATTTTTAAAGTCAAACATTCTAGTCTAATACATTCCAATGCTATGAGATTTTGAGGAATCACAGTAGAAAAGTATTAAAATTCACTGTTTTCCATAATTAAACCATTAGGCTTCTCTAAGAACAGAAAACTTTGTATGTGTAATAAAAAACAAAAAACAAAACAAAACAAAAAAAAAACTACAATTCAAAACAAAACATCACACACAGCCTCAAACCTGAGCAGAGGTGTTGTAGATAGCATTCAGTGTTATGTGGTGTGATAGCAATGTACAGTACAGAGTGTGTGTGCTGTGTACTCAGAACCAGTCAAGCAATCCCCAAAACACCCCAGACTCATGGCCTCTTTGCTTCCATGTAACACTTTTGAACTTTCTTTTTTGTAGCTGTGCATTCAAAATCTTTCACTTGTTGCCGACTTTTTCAAGACTTTCCCACTGACAACCCACAGATTAGGAGCCACATGCTAATGTAGGCAGTACTGTCCGCCAGCCCACTGTGCCATCTCTACAGCACCCAGCTCCAGGTCCTTACCTGTAGATGGAGATGTGGGGAGAAACAGGCCGGTTTGAACCCGTGTTCTTATTCCAGAACCGTTCCATCTCTTCCTTGGCTGTGGTTCCCAAAGGGACAGCACTAACATGAAACAAAGATTCAAAAGGACTAAAGTACATATTTCACAGAGCAAACAGTATATTTGAACAGTTTTATTGTATTTTTACTTATGTGTATGTTAGCGCAGATGCCTGAGAAGGCCTGAAGAGGGTGTTGGATCCTATAGGGCGGTAGTTATAGGCAGGATTTAGCTACCCAATATGGGTGCTAGGAACTGATTTGGGTCCTCTACAAGAACTGTGCCACCCCTCTAGGCCCTAAAACGTCTTTCTTAAGAAAGGTACGGTTGGATCAGGAGGATTGCTCAGTGGGGAAAGGTGCTTACTGACGAATCTGATGACCTGAATTTGGTCCCTCCAGACCACATGGCAGGAGGAGAAAAACCACTCCCACAAGATGTCTTCTGACACCTACACATCCCCAAGTCCCACCACATGTGCATTAATAAGTAAAATATATTTTATAACATTAAGAAAGGATACAGGTATACAAATAGCTCAGAAGTTAAGAGCAGAGCCTGCTCTTCTGGAAGATCCAAGTTTGATTCCCAGTACCCACATGGTGGCTCACAACAGTAACTCTAGTCCCAGGCAATCCACCTGACCTCCTTGGCACTGAATAAATGTAGTACACAGACAAAAATGCAGGCAGAACACCCGTACACATAACCAACATCTCTTAATCTATGTTTTTACTCTGTACTCCCCATCCTGCCTTCTCAACATCTGGCTAGCGACTCTGCCTTTCTTCCCAGGGCTCTTTCTGTCCAGAAGTCCCTGCTATACATACTACTTAGCTATTGGCCATTTAGCTTTTTATTACACCAATCACAATGACACGCCTTCACTGTGTGTAAAGGAATATTCCACAACAGACTTCAAAACTTACTTTCTGAGACAAAGCTGAGAATTAAGGTGGGCTCGGAGGCAATGACGGCCAACGTGTCTGCAAGAAATTCAAGAATACAAATTTAGAGACCAGCACCAGCATATCAACTTTGTACTGTTATTATTATTATTATTTATATATTTCTATCTTGTGAGACAAGGTTTCTCTGAGTAGCCCTGGTTGTCCTGGAACTTGCTCCACAGATCAGACAGGCCTCAAACTCAGAGATCCACATGCCTCTGTGTCCCAAGTGCTGGGATTAAAGGAATGAGCCATCATGCCTGGTTCCTCTGTATTATATTAGATGTGAAAAGACAGATTGAAAATGAAATGAGGGTTGAGGGTATAATTCACTGTACTGTGTATGCTTAACACACATAGAGCCCTGGTTTCAACCTCCAGCATCAAAAACATAAAAGAAGAAAAGTAGAGTCCCTAGTTTCTAGCTGAAAAACTACAACTTGAAGAGGGGCGTGGCAAGCACACCTGTCATCCTAGCACTTAGTGATGAGGCAGAAGGGTTAGAGATTCAAGGACAGCCTCAGCTACATACTGAGTGTGAGGCCAGTGTGGGTTACACAAGACCCTGTCTCAAAATGGAATGGAGGGAGGGAGGAAGAGAGGGAAGGAAGAAGGAAGGACAGACAGACTAGCTATAACTCAGAAGGACATGATAGTAAGATTATAATTCTAGCAGTTATGCTGCTGGAACAGGACAGCAATTTTCAGGCCAACATGTGCTATAAGAGCCTCTCTTTAAAAAACAAACAAACCTACAACTCTAAGAATAATCAGAAATATTACCTACAAATGCAAAATGAAGTCTTAAATGAACACAAATACTAGGAGAAAGAATGAGAGCCAATATTATACAGAAACAAATGTTTTGAGACAGGGTCTTATGTAGTTTAGGCTGGTTCAAACTTACTATGTAGCAAAGGTACTTCACCTCCCAAGTGCTAGGATTCCATGTTAATCTTCAGAATGTTGTTGCTTTAAAGCTAGGCCTTAGAGGAGTTGGTTAATAAAACACTAGAGTTTAGTCGGGGGTGGGGGGTGGAGAGGGCTTTAATAGCTCAGTGGTACAGTGCTTTCCTAACATTCATAGGATGAGGCTTTGGGTTTAATCCCCAGCACTGCAAAAATAAGACAAGCCAGAGTACATTGGGAAGCACACACTTTATGTATGGCAGAAACCTGATCCAAATGGATTAATTAAATTTTGAAGAACAAGGGATTTGAGGATGGACCTTCCTAATACTAAGCTAGGTCATTTCAAAAACTACCATCTGGAGCTGGGGAGATGGCTCAGTGGATAAAAGCACTTTCCACAACCCTGACAACCTGAATTCAATCCCACAACCCACCTAAAGGTGGAAGACGAGAACCAACTGTACAAAGCTCTCTGACTGCCTCATGCATGCACACATACACACGCGTGCACGCACACACAACATGCAATAATAGTAATTAATACTTAACTTTTAAAAATTAAAAACCTACCATTAACTTCCAGATAGCAGAGATAAACTTCAAGTCACAAAGCCTCTCATATAATAGTATAAAAAAGCATGAGAAAGCAAAGATCCTTTACCATTCCCTCAAAAAAGTATTTACAAAAAGTAATTACATTTTCTACCTAAAAGTGGTTAGAGGACTAGGGTTAAATTTCCAGCATCCACATTGTATTCACAATCATCTGTAAGTTCAGTTCCAGAAAACCCAGTGCCTTTTTCTGGACCATGCCTGCACATGTACATGGACATACATGCAGGCAAAACACCTACACACATAAAATATATAAAATAATTTATAATTTTTAAATTACATTTTATTTATTTTGTGTGTGATGGTGCATGCCACAACACACATGTGGGAATCAGAAAATTAGCAAGGAGTTGGTTTTCTCCTTTCAACATGTAGATCCTGGGATCAAACTCAGGAGATCAGGTTAGTAATCCTGCAATCCAAGCATTCAGGAAGACATACAAGAGGACTGCTGTAAATTCAAGTCCAGTCTGGTCTAAACAGCCGTTTCCAGGCCAGCCTGCACTGTATCTAGACCTTGTCCCAAATGCCAAAAAGAAAAATGAGAAAAGAAAAACATTCAACAACAGATCCTTTAATCTCATAATTCCAAGCCAACACTTCCAAAGTATTTAAGGAGGTGGCCACAATGAAGTTCTGGAAGTCAAAACATTTACCTATGTTAATTCACTATGTGCAAGGCATTGTGGAGATATAAGAGCTCATTAAGATCCAACAATTTGAGCTGGGTGGTGATGACACACCTTTAATCCCAGTTGTGAGTTGGAGGCCAGCCTCGTCTACAGCTTGGGCTGTTACCTGTCTCAAAAAATAAAACAAGCAAACAAAAAGATCCAACAATCTTTTAAATGGGTTTATGATGTCCATTACATCACTGATTCTAGATCCAGAATCATTTCAAAAGCCTTATGATCTACAACGGAGCCTCAAAAGGGCCCATTATTTGAAGGGGTTAAAAAAAAAAATCCTACCAATCCTTGTTCAGTTCTCTCTCTTCCCTTCAGAAACAAGAGGTGAATGCAGACATTGTGTACCCAGGGCTCTTAGAAAGAAGTGGGAACAAATCTCTTTAAATCAACTGAATTGTCTCTGAAGTTGCAGGGCGCACATTCCTCACACCAAGCTAGGCCCAGTCACTCAGCTACCCAGCAAGTTTGCAGATGTGGGCTGGAATCTATCGCATGTTCTGCCTAGTGCTATTGTTTTCCAAATACCAATGTATGCTTTACACAAAGGCCCTTACAGAAACAAGCTTTATAAACACCACAACCTTATTTAAAATATGAAAGAAGGTATCTATCTTGGTCTTTCGTGTGAAACCAGAGATTCTGAAAAATCTTTCCATGCTAAGAATGGATCTTAAAATATTACAGCTAGGAGGCAGTAAGATGGTTCAGAGAGCAAAGGCACTTGCTGCTAAGCCTGACAACCTCAGTTGGACCCTTGGGATTCACAATTGTCCTCTGACTGCTACACACAGGCCATGGCACATATACACCCAACTACAATAAAGAAAAGTGAAAAAAAAATGTAAAAGGTTATAGCTAAATGTGTTTTGTTTTGAGACAGGATCTTACTTTGTGTCCCAGGCTGGCCTGGAACTCACTCTATAGCTCAGGCTGGCTTCAATCTTACAGCAATCCTTCCTGTCTCAGTCTCCTAAGTGCTGAGACTACTGGTGTGAGCCTCCACAAGCAGTTGATTAAGTCATTTATGTGAAACAGTGTGGCATTTACAAATATCCTATGCACAGTGTACTTTACTTCCAATAATTTCTGTATTACTTATAATGCCCGATATAACTTATGTGTTCCATACATGTTACACCATATGATTTAAGGAAGGGGGTGCTGCCCATGTGCAGTCCAAATACAACCAATGGGGAAAAGTTACTTATAGATATTACCAATGGGAGCCCAGATACAACCAACCACATGCCTACATGGGAACAAAGGGGAAGCAAGCAGTAAGTGCTGGACTGAGAATGAATATCTGAATGGCAGAAGGCTACAGCAGGGTATATCTACAGTTTCACTCACATGGACTCAGTATAATGCCTGTCAAGTAACAAATTCAAACTGCTTTTTGTAATTTGCTTTTCAAATATTTTCAGTCTGAGACTGGATGAATCCAGGAAAAACCCAAAGATGAAGACTCTAAACACTAATCCTGAAACTTCTAAAATGAAATGTTTGGAACCAATATGATCATTTCAAGCTAAACATTAATAATTCACCCAACAGGCCCTAACAGTCACTAATGTGTGTTACATCAAAGAGTTTGAAAGCATTCAATTGTGGTCAAATAATTACAAATGACAGATGCAGCTCTGGACAACTGGTCCTGTCTCATCTCAGGGAAAAGATGCCTATGAGAAATGCCCAGCAAGATGAAAATAAGGACAAAGATAACTGATCTGAATTCCCAAAGACTCACTTTGCAACAAAGAAAAACTAAACAGAATCCTTCTATTTTTATACTACATGACTGAAGTGGAAAGAGAAATGAAAACACATTTTGGAGAATCAGGGGCTGGAATTTTCAACAGCACTGAAGCTAACTTTCCATAACAAATGCTTTCCAAAAATAGGACAGGCACAAAACTGTGTTGGGATTTGTACAATAAGTGTCTGAGGGTGCTAGAAGCCCTTACAACTTAGTAGGGCTCTGTGAATGATACCTAAAGAGTGAAGAATTCAGAACTAAAGAAAATCTGGGCTATTTCTCTGGACAGGAAAATGGCTTTTAGAGAAAGGCGGGGATATCCACCCCATAACAATGCTAAACTAAAACTGGAAACAAAACAAAGTGAATTTTCTGGGCAGCAGCAGAGACCCACTCGAGCGGCTACACGGAGTGGGGGGGATGCAATTGGAGGCCACAGTCCCCACGCGTTGCAGCAGCAGCAGAACTGTCAGGGGTTAGGAAGCATAGAGTAGGCGCCCCAAAGAGCCCCTCTCCCTACAATGCGTAACACCCCCCCCAATAAAATGTAGGCCTAGGGGCCAGTCGATCTCGAATTTAGTTTCTGGAGGCTCGGACCTGGGTGGGACCACAAGAGCAATTTGGGAAGAGGTTCTAGATGTGTGCGCAGCAGAAAGGGTGACAGCCGCGCCACTCATCCAGAGTGACCTCTAAGCCCTTCCGAGCCCGACGAGGGGGGGAGGATGCTAGGATCCCTGCGGCGCGGGATCCCTGCACACCCACGGGCCCTTCCCTGTCCCCGCGCGCCTACGCCGCTGTCACATCCTGAGGGACCACTTCGGGTCCTCCAAGGATGGCGGGCACCGACACCCAGCCCCAGGCTAAAGTCACCTCAGCAAGAGCGCAGCCATCTTGAGTTCCGGCCTGGACGGAAATGACGCAACCTCCCCCCCCGTGCGTCCCCTCCCCTTGGCGGAGCAACAGGCAGGGGCTGTCATGTGACAACTTAGATTTTTTTTTTTTTTTTTTTTTTTTTTTCCCTTTTGTCAGGTTGGAACCTTGAGTTTTGCGGTTCGGCTCTTTGCTGATGCTGACTTTTTTTTTAATTTTTATTTTTTATTTTCCGTTTCTTTGGTTTTCCTCTCTCGTGCTAGTTTCTAGCGTCGTTCGTCAAAGTTTTGGCCAAATCGCCGCGTGATTACAGTTCATGCATTTACCTCCTGCGAGTTTATTTTGTGCCGCTCGCCCTACCACAGACAGCGATTTCGCCCGGTTTATTCACCGAGGATTTCGACAGCTCATTGCAACCCCTTCCTTTCCAAGTTGTACTAAAAAAATCTCCGAGTTAGCTGACTGAGACACTCAAGGAAAATGCTGCTTTGGGCTTCTTCAAGGTTCTTCGGCCCTGAAGAGATGTTATGCAAGCACTATACTTTCAAGCTATATATATCCCCAGCACGATGAACCCCAGGTTGGACAGTAGGGAGTGTGGGGCCTTACACCGTTCTTTTCAAGGTCGGGGATCCTCTTCTGACCACCTCCACCCGGCCTGGCAATTCCAGGACCTGTGCTGCATGAACCAAACTCCCACAGGCCAAGGACAATGCTCCCTTGTTTCTTTTTCAGCGATATGTGGGTGACACCCACAGCCACAAGAACCTGGGGCGTGGAGAAACCACTTTGACTTATATATGCTGTATATAAGCGGTTTTGAGGAATCCAAGTACAGAAATCAGTTGCTGGGCTGTCCCAGCTGAGGGAAGAAAGTGAGCAAGTGAGAAAGGAATGAAACAGAATGCCAAAGTTCCTGACCCTGGGAGCTGTGGGGTGGCATGGCTGAGGGAGAAAGAATAAAGGGGGGTGGGGGGGGGTAACTTAGTCTATTGTAAATCTCTTTTGGTTGTATTAATATTCAGATCCCATTTATATTTAGCACTATCCTGCCTTTTCCCTTACAGGATTTAAATAGCACAAATTCTCTTCCCCCCTGCATCAAATGAATAATATTATTTCTGTAACGTTTGACAAAGAAAGTACTTGCGTAGACTTTTGGGACTGGAAGGGACCTTAGAAGTTCTCTCTTCCAAACCTCTATTTAGTGCAAGAATCTCTTTTGCAGCGTTTCTTGACCTTCAAGATGGCTGCAACAAATTTAATGCTGGGTACCTCAAAAAATAAATTTCATGCTGGGAGTGGTAACGGTGCCTGTAATCCTGGCATTTAGGAGGCTGGATTGTGAGTTCAAGGCCAGCCTCCAGAGATAGGAAAAGGAAAACAACAACAAAACTCCAGCTTTAAAAAAAATTAAGTAAACAGGAAAAGCAAAATAACAACAAAAACAGCTTTTAAAAGTTCAGCAAACAGCTTAATTAATAGAAAACTGTTCTAGAAAATACAGTTTTTGATACTGAACCCTCTAACCCAGGCTTGGTGGCACACCTGCAATCCTAGTACTTGGGAAGTAAAAACAGAAGATCAGGAGTTCAAGGACATCCTTAGCTACATTGAGTTCCAGGTAACCTGGGCTACATGAACAGTATCTCAAAACAAAACAAAAACAAACAAACAAAAACAATAAGATGTAATGAATGTCTCTTTAACTTAGCTCTGCTTTCTTTTTTTTAAAATTTTAAAAAATATATATGAGTGTTTTACTTGCTTTGTATGCCTGTGTACCTCATGTGTGCTCCAGGAGGTCAAAGGAAGGCACCAGATCCCATGGGACTAGGGTTATGGAACTGTGAGCTGCTATGTGGGTGCTGGAAATCAACCCCCATTCTCTGGAAGAGCTGTCAGTGTTCTTAACAGCTGAGCCATGTCTCCAGCCCTATCACTTAAGTCTTTTAATAATTTTATTTAACATATATGTACAGTTGGCTTTTTGCCAATCTGCGAAAGTGCTTTAGGAGATTCAAAGGCACAAGAATATGCTGACCTGTCAACCTGTCAACCTGGACAAGCTTACAGCCTTCTCTAGGTCAATAAAGGAAACATATGAAAAGTAGTAAACCTAGGGATGCAACTCAGCTGGTGGAATGCTTGCCTAGTATTCACAAGGCCCTGGCTTGCATAAAACCAGACAGTAGTGCACATCTGTAATCCCAGCACTCAGGACCCGTAAACAGGAGAATCAGAAATTCAAGGATCGAGCCTGGAAGTGGTGGTGCACGCCTTTAATCTCAGCACTTGGGAGGCGGATGTAGGTGAATCTCTGTGAGTTCCAGACCAGCCTGGTCTACACCATGAGTTCCAGGACAGAGAAAGCCTATCTCAAAAAAAAAAAAAAAAAAAGCAAACCCCCCCCCCAAATTTCAAAGGTCATCATCCCTGCCTACATAACAAGTTGGAGGCAGAGCAAAGGGGAGGGGAGAGGGAGAGGAAAGGAGGGAGAGAGAGAGGACATGCAAGCCTACAAAACAAGGTATAGATAAGAGTAGTGGATAAAGAGAAAGTGAAAAATGGTGAAGTTAAGTGGAAATATTGATTACAGCTTCTTCTAAACATTAGCTCAGGATGATTTTATCCATGGGGTTTAATTATAATCAAGCCTCTGTTTAGCATTCCTTTACCAAAATCTAGTGTTAACCACGAAACTCACAAGAACTACGATCTGACATACATGGAGGATATAAGAGACTGTTGGCTTAAGGTCTGATATGCAGGACCAAGCTGAGCATGGTGGAGGTCATGTAATTCCTTAGCACTCAGAAGGCAGAAACAAGATCACCAGAGGCCCCAGGCCACTCTGATCAAAATAGTGAGTTCAAGCCAGGCGGTGGTGGTGAATGCCTTTAAAACAGCATTATGGAGGCAGAAGCAGGTGGATCTCTGTGAGTTCAAGGCTAACCTGGTCTACAGAGTGAGTTCCAGCACTGAGAAAGTTTGTCTTGAAAAACAAAAACAAACAAAAACCAAAAACTGAGTTCAGGTCAGCCAGGAGTATATAGGTAGATCCTATTGTAAGCAAACAATCTAAAACAATGGTCATTGCACTTAACCTCCAGAATCTACACTATAGCTGATGGAAATAAATCACATTAAAATTCAGACCATGGGGACTGAAGAGATGGGTCAGTGGTTAAGGGTGCTTGCTGCTCTTGCAGAGGACCCACGTTCAGTGGCTTCCAATACCTACATGATGGCTCACAACTATAACTCCATTTCCTAGGGATAGAGTACACATACATACATGCAGGCAAAACAGTCAAGCACATAAAGCAAAATAAATAAATCTAAAGAAAGAAAAAAGAAATTCAGGCTTCAAATATCTTTGTTGTTGTCATTTGAGACAGGGTCTGTCTGTCCTAGAACCCACTAGGTTGGCCAGCCTGGCCTCAAACTCACAAAGATCTAATTGCCTCTGTCTCCCAAGTGCTGGTAGTAAAGGAGTATATCACCACAACCAGCAAGCCAAACTCTTTATCAACACGGTTTCTTTAAAAATAAGCAGGATAAAGCAAGGTCTATGATTCAAAGTAAGAGAAACGAAGGGAAAGAGATGGGGGCATTTTTGCTGAAAAGCACAATCATTTCAGATAAGTCAAAGAAGGCAAGAAAAAAGAGGCAGCAATCTGGATATCTCTGAAAGATTTTGCTTGCCAGATTTGCCTTAAAACTCAGCTCAACTGCATAATTTGTGATTGTGAGGGGGAATGCTTTCATGCTGTCCCCTGAAAGAACAAACAACAAACCTCAGCTGTGAGGCCTGAGGTGAAACTCACTTGCTGCTCTTCTGGAGGACCTGGGCTCTGCTCCTAACACTTACACAGTGGTTCACCACCACTCCAGTTCCAGGGAATATGAGCCCCTTTTCTGGTCCCTACCATCAACAGGCACACACACGGAGCATACATATACATGCAGACAAGTACTGATACACATAAAAATAAATAAATCATGAAAACCCCTTATCTTGGATTTGGATTTTGGTTTGTTTTTGGTTAGTTGTTCAGTGGTTGTTTTATTTGTTGAAATTATCTCTTATAGCCCAGGCTAGCTTTGAACTCCTGATCCTCCTGCTTCCACTTCCTAAGTGCTACAAAGATAAGCATAAACTATAGCTGATTTTCTCATCTCTAGTTCCACACCCTAATTCAATCCTTGAGGAGATGTTTACAGTGTACTAGGTTAAATCCACCTTTAGACTTGTGTCCTGCTGTACCCTAAGATCCCCCAAATCTGATATATCAAACATAGATGTGCATAATCTGCTTTAAATATGCCCATAGCTTCACAAATGTCACACACACACAGAGAGAGACATACACAAACACACACAGACACACATAGACACACAAACACACACACACAGAGACACACAAACACACACACACAGAGACACACACTCACACACACACACACATACACGGGGTAGAGGGGAGACTTACTTTCACCTCGGCTCTTTGCTGTTCCATCTAGCCACTGAACCTCCTAATCCCCTTTTCAAAATGGCACTTCTCCTTCAAGGTCCCCATATAAGATTACCTCCTATATAACCTGACTGCTCTTCCCTCTGAACTTCATGTATTAAGTGAAGTTTATTTGTAGAACCTAATCCTCCTGATGGAGTAGGCAGTTGGTTGTGTATGGTATTCCCAGCATTCTATTCATTGGCTGATGATGAGTTTGCCTTCTGTTTCTCACCTCTGCCTCCTCAACTAGATTTTGAGCTTGCAGGAAGAAGTGACTTAGCAGTCTAATACCAGCATTCCCATACTTTGCAAATGACCAGCAGGCAGGACACAATATGCGCCTTTGCTTATTTAAACTGCAGCATAGCATAAGGCATTGAAGGATTTTCTAACAAAAGAGGGGAGATCTCAGCTTCTTCCTGGAAGTTGTTGGGTAAAGAAAAACTTCTTTTGAGGTAGAAATCTCCTAGGATGCAGGGTGATGGAAAAAGTTGTTCCCAAAGGGCTTTGTCATCTCAAGTAGTCTACAGTGTTGCCGTAGCAATCAGAACAACAAGGGACACCCTAATTTGGGAGTTCTCTGGGAAAAAAAAATCCTCTAGATCCTAGGGCTCTCAGGCAAAGAGGCTAAGAAGGAATCTTGCATGGTCTTTAAGATTTAGGTTTCTCAGCTTATCTATTCCTCAGAGAAGTGTGTCTGTGTCCCTTTTTCTGTCCCTCTCCTTCACCCCCCCAACATTCCAGCCTAGGGTAGGGGGAGGTCAGTATACACAAAGCTCTCTGTGTATGGGGTGGTATGTATCCCCCCACCCCTCCACCCAGAGTATACAATGCCCCTTCTGCTCTGTGCCCCCTGCCACCCTCCCTACCACCTCTCAACTGCACATGCCAGGCTGCAATTGGTCACTGGCTCAGGACAGCCCCCTCATGCTGGGAATCCAGGGGATTTTAAGCAGGTTCCAGAAAATCCTGCTCAGTTCCTTGTCCCCCACTTTCTCCACCCCTCAGATGCTCTGGGCCCTAGCCCCTTCCCCAGCCATGGCTCCTGGGGCTCCCTCATCAGGCCCCAGCCCTATCCTGGCCACCCTGCTCTTCTCTTCTTTGGGTAAGTGGGGCCACTGAGTCACAGAAGCCTGAGATTCAGGTGGTCTCTCTGGGCAACTTCTCCCTTCCCCCACTGCAAGAATCAGCAAGAGAGTGCAGGAAGGAGATGCTGTGTTTAGATGTGGAGAGGGAAGGTGTGTATACCCTTTAAAGGAAGAAGGAAAGGTATGGAAAGAGACACAGAGAGCTTCCCTGAGCCCCCAGGTTGGAAATGTCCTCAGATCCAGACTGACAGCCTGTCAGGAAGCAGAAAGGGGCAGGGGAAAGAACAGGATCAAACACTGAGTTCTGTTCCCCATTCGTTCCCAAGTGGGTTTCTGCCCACTATAATATGATTGAATCCTAGGATCTTGCCCCACTAAACCTGTCTTCCTTAAACTGACCGGCCTTTTCCTTTACCTATGGCAGATGTTGAGTGAGCAAGGGAACATTAAAGCAAGGTTAACTAAGTAGATTCTTTCAAACTGCCTTGCATCCTGTGCAAGCAGTAGGCAAGTTGGAATAAGGGGAAGGGGAAAGTGGCAGGGGAGGGGAACAGTTAGAAAATACAAGGTTCTTTCCTTGGTCAAGTTCAACTCTTTGTAAACCCAAAAGTTAGACTTTTCTGGTTCATACCGGACTATTCGGTGATACTTCAAGACAATGGTGAAGATAGGAAGTTAGAGAAAGCCTTAGTAAAAGGGAGTGAGGGACTAGAGAGTCTAAGGGGCCGAAAGAGCTCTGTCCCACCCGTAGAACCACTGAGCAGAGTTGAGAAAAGTGGATGATATAATAGGAAGAACAGAAGTTGGAACCAATAAATAATCCTCTTTGTTATGTTGGGGATTCCCAAGAAGGGCCTAAGGCAGAATTCCCAGGAGGCAAGGAAAAGATATTGCATATTGAGGTGGGGGGTTCAAGACAATGAGGGTGAGCGTGGGTGAAGCATGAGTCTCCAGCACCGTTTAGACAATGAGACTTTGTTTGGTTGCCCCCTCCTAAGAAACAGAAAGGTCTACAGTTGTCCCCATCCAGCACCAACCCACACACACAGTCTCCCTGGAATGACTGTCTTGTGGTAGTGGGTTATAGGGGTGGCACTGGGCCAATATGACCAAGAAGAGGGAAGATGGTTGAACCACAGAAGTCCACATGCAGTCACCTGAGTGTTGGACTTGGGGTCTTCCTCTATACCTAGCTTCTCATGGTAGTGATATGAAGTCCTTTCTCCCTTGGCTCCCCAGTAAAGAGCAAACTTAATGGCAACCAGGGATGCAGCAGGCATTTGTGCCCACAAGAGGACTCACATTCTCCAGTTGTCACCTTCTTCTTTTTTTGTCTTCTTGCAAGGATATGAATTTGCTGTACTGTGAAATAGTACAAAGCTGCTAATCCTACTACTACTAATACTACAAAGTAGGATTGATGTCTATGAGTCAGAGTGGCAAGCTATACCAGATAGTTATATTCTTAATTCAAAACAAAAAAGTAGATTATGATGCAATATGTTTTCTATACATTTAAAAGAGATCCACAAAACTAATTTAGCCATTTTTTGTAGGTACAGATATATCTTGAATTTATTGCATTTATGCTGAGTTTTATACATAGAGAAAGCATATTTACTACCTGGCAATGGTGGTTCAAAATGGGTGGAGAAATTAGGAAAGAAATTGGTTGTTAGATTAAGTGTCAAGGAAGACATTGGCTTTATTGGTATTACTTGAATAGTTTATAAGAATATATACATGACATAGTGGCAAATGCCTTTAATTCCGGCACTCAGGAGGCAGCAGCAGGTAGATCTCTGTGAGTCCTAGGCCAGCCTGGTCCACATATTGAGTTCCAGGACAGCCAGGGCTATATAGTAAAACCCTATCTTAAAACAAATAAGCTGAGGGGAGGTGGTGCACACACCTTTAGTCTCAGCATTTGGAAGGCAGGGGTAGAGGCATCTCTGTGAGTTTTGAGGTGAACCTGGTCTACAGAATGAGTTCCAGGACATCAAGGGTTACACAGAGAAGCCTGTCTTGGAGAGAGAGAGTCAACCATTGGCACATGCCTGTAATTCCAACACTCAGAAGGCTGAGGCAGGAAGATAATAAGTTCTAGGAGAGCTATGGGCTATGTAGTAAGACTGCCTCAGAAGGGAGAGAGAGAGAGAGAGAAAGAGAGAGAGAGAGAGGGAAGGAAGAAAGGACTAAAAGAGAAAGTGAGAGTTGGACACCACCACCTTCTAAAATCCTCCAGAAACACTGATTTACTTCCTCTGCACTGAGGAAACTGTCCCATCAGAGCACTAAGCAGACCTGAGACTGTTTAGCTTGTGAGATCAGACAAGGTTGGACATACTCAGGGTGGTATGGCTGCAGACTTGAGGAACAGCCTTTATGCTGAGACCTTGAGCCAATGCAGAATCATATTCACCAACTGAGTTAATCCAGACAGAGGTAGGCCTCAAAGCATTCATTTCTTTGCTATGGTGTCATTGGTGTCCAAGCCAGACCTTGATGTCTCATTGGGCACACGTGTGTGTCTCCTTCCCCTCTGCTTGCAGTGCTGTCCCCGGCCCTGGCCATTGTGGTTTACACGGACAGGGAAATCTATGGTGCTGTGGGCTCCCAGGTGACCCTGCACTGCTCCTTCTGGTCCAGTGAATGGGTCTCAGATGACATCTCTTTTACCTGGCGCTACCAGCCTGAAGGGGGCCGAGATGCCATTTCGGTGAGTGCTTGGAGGTAGGGTGGGGGTGGAGAGCAGCGGGAGTGTCCTGGATTTAGATAACAAACAGATAGATGGGGAGCTTCAAACAACAGAAAGAGAACTTGGGCTACAGAAGGGGACCTGTTTCATGAGCCATAAACTCAAGCTGTAGCAATGCAGTAACAGTCATTGCTACCTTGCCTAGGACCTGTGTGCACTGCCCTCGCTCTCCCAGGCCAAGATCTGTTACCCTAAGACTGGAGCCAGGCTTCGGCAGCTTTTCACACTAGGGTCCTCTCACACGATTCCTCTCATTCCTCTTAGATCTTCCACTATGCCAAGGGACAACCTTATATCGATGAAGTGGGGACCTTCAAAGAGCGCATCCAGTGGGTAGGGGACCCTCGCTGGAAGGATGGCTCCATTGTCATACACAACCTTGACTACAGCGACAACGGAACTTTCACATGTGATGTGAAAAACCCACCAGACATAGTGGGCAAGACTTCTCAGGTCACACTCTATGTCTTTGAAAAAGGTGTGAGAAGGGACAAGGGACAGGGGTCTGGGAGGCTTTTCAACCAGGGTATCACCAAGGACTGATAGACTGGGGGAAGGACAAATAGCCTTAACTAATCTGGATGTGGTAGTACAAGCCTTTAATCCCAGCTCTGGGGAGGCTGAGGAGGTGATTGCCTGGGTCACATAGTGAGTTCAGACCAGCCTGGGATATATAGCAAAAATGGGGGTGGGAGCCAGGGATAGGCATGATGGTCCTGACTGTAATCCTAGTACGGCAGAGGTAGAAGCAGACTGGCCTGACCTTCAAGGCCATCTTTGGCTCCATAGCAAGTAGCCAAAGACTGTGTAAAGGCCAACTTGGGCTATGTGAGACCCTGCCCCGCCTAAAAAATAACATAAAATAATAGTAAAAGCCAAAGATGCTGGGAAGGGAGGCAAAAAGCAGCCTTAGCTAGAATTCTCACATTTCCAACCACTGGAAATAGTTGTAATGGGAAGCAACATAGATACAGGCTTCCGTTCCCCCTCGACCACGTTATTTCTTCTTACTTACTTATTTTGGGTTTTTCGAGACAGGGTTTCTCTGTATTACTTTGGAGGCTGTCCTGGAACTAGTCCTTGTAGACCAAGCTGGGTTCGAACTCACAGAGATCTACCTGCCTTGCCTCTTGAGTGCTGGGATTAAAGGCATGTGCGACCAAGGCCCAACAACCACTTGTTTCTTTTCCTTCCCCTCCTAGTGCCCACTAGATATGGGGTGGTGTTGGGAGCAGTGATCGGGGGCATCCTTGGCGTGGTGCTGTTGCTGCTGCTGCTCTTCTACCTGGTTCGGTACTGCTGGCTGCGCAGGCAGGCAGCTCTGCAGAGGAGGCTCAGGTAAGGAGCGGAGCCTGATTCCCCGCCTTCAATCCAGGATCCCCGAGACTGCTTCAGTGGTGGGAGGGCCAAAGAAAAGGAAGTGCATCCGCTGGGAATGGGTTTCCAGTGAGACCAATCCTGCGGCAATCACTCTCTCCACAGTGCCATGGAGAAGGGGAAATTTCACAAATCTTCTAAGGACTCCTCGAAGCGCGGGCGGCAGGTCAGTGAGACATGAGACTGGGGAGGAGAACGCTGGGAGCCCCGGGGACAGCCATGAGGGATGGGTGGGCAAGGTCAAGCCTGAGGCTGATGTGTGCAACCCTCCCTGCAGACGCCAGTGCTGTATGCCATGCTGGACCACAGCAGAAGCGCCAAAGCTGCTAGTGAGAAGAAGTCTAAAGGGCTGGGGGAGTCTCGCAAGGATAAGAAATAGCGGTTAGCGGGCCGGGCGGGGGGTCGGGGGTCTGCGACAGAGTCTTCCAAAGGCTCTCAGGTGGTGGTCATCGAGATGGAGCTTCGAAAAGATGAGCAGAGCTCGGAGCTCCGACCTGCAGTCAAGTCCCCCAGTAGAACCAGCCTCAAGAACGCCCTCAAGAACATGATGGGCCTGGACTCGGACAAGTGACCGTCACATCCAGGCCCTGTCAGAGCAGGGGGACCTAGGCTCCTCTTTTCCCAGGTCTAGGTGCTTTCCTCTTGCTCCTCAGCCCTGCCCTGCCCTTACCTCCCAATAAGATGTAAAGTTTCATTTCAACCTTCCTTTCCAAGTTCTTGTATTTCTCCTTCGCCTTTCTTTACCCCTCGGCTTTCCCGGGAGCCTAGGGACTAACCCTATTCCTCACCTGCCCCAAGGGCTGTGTGTTTGGTGCCTGTCCCTCAGGCGCTGAGAAGAAAGGGACCTTGATAGCCTCTGCCCAACTCCAGGCCAGTTGACCTTCCCATCCCCTCTCACGCACACACACCCTCACTCAGCTGATACCCGGGCTCTTCCAGCTCTCCCCTTTATCCCTCAGTGGCCCAGCTCCATGCTCTTGTCTTTGGGCTCAAATCCACATCATCCAGATCAGACTCTCCATCAGGGTTTATTTAGGTTGTCGAGTATTTTTTATTTGTCCTTCTGTTTTTTTGTTTGTTTGTTTATCTGAGCCCGTGCCCCCATGACTGAGGACCAATGACGTCATGTGGCTTTTGCAGTACCCAACTCCCTGCTAAGTCTTTATCATTATTGGAGAGCCAGCCAGCCCAGACAGTTGGAGCCCCTGAACCTCAGACCTCAGCTACATGATTGATGCCCTTTGACCACACTGGAGCACAGTTCTGGGACTCAAGATTTGGGGAAGGAGAGAGAAAAAGATGGATCCTCAGAGGTCAGGGGTGGAGTTCGGGGCTTTAAGAAATAAATAATTAGACAGCAAACAGGAAAACCACATGAGAATAGGAGGGAAAGGAAGAGGTTGCACTCCCAGGCACAGGGGATTGTTAGGATTTTTCTACATTCTGTACATTTCTTTTACCACCTCCAAATGTCCTTAAATGTTTAATAAACACTGACATTTCCAGACACTGCTGTCTCCATCTTGAATTTTCTAGTTCTCATAAGAATTGCCACCTCAGATGGGTGGTGGTGGCTCATGCCCTTAGTCCCAGCACTCGGGAGGCAGAGGCAGGTGGTGGATCTCTGTGAGTTAGAGGCCAGACTGGTCTACAGAGCTAGTTCCAGGACAGGCTCCAAAGCTACAAAGCGGGGAGAGGGGGGGTTTAATAAAGAATCCCTACCCTCTCATTGCCAGCCCATGTTTCTTCCTCATTAGCTGGTTTTAGTTGTCAGATTTGATTTTATGTTTTTGGTCCATTCCAGGTAGCATAGTGAAGAAAGCTATGAAATAGGCTCATAGACATATTTATGTATTAATTAATTCATGTGGAAGCACATGAATTCTTTTTTCCCTCTCTCCTACCCTCCCATGCCCCCCATCACCCTCTCCATCCACTCCCCCCCAAAATGGAAACCCATGAATCCTAAATCATGCCAGCCATGTACTATTTTTGTCCCCAGGATGGTTGCTTGCCTTTCCTAAGCTTGTTTTGCACTTCCTAAATACATGGAACTATTCTACCCATGGTGTGCAATTCCCAAACCCTTTGTGAGAATCAAGAGACAGCGGAAACCTTCACAAGCTATAAGCTTAGTTGTACATATCATAACATATGACTGAGTTATTAAGAGTCAGGGCTGTAAAAATGTTTGTAGTCTTGCCTAAGGGAGTACATTTCGGATATGGAGAGATTGGTCAGAGTACCCAGGTGGATGCTCGCAGCCTTCTGTAACTTCTGTACCAGAGGATCTGATGCCCTCTTCTGGCCTCTGTGGACAACAGGCACTCACATGGTACACAGACATACATGCAAGCGAAATACATGTATGAATAATAAAATTGAAAATAAAGGAGTGCACTTTATAAACTAGCACAGATCTCATTCACCTTTACAAATATATGTAACATTTTAAGATAAACATGGCAGAACATACCTATAACCCCAATACTTGGAAGGTTCAGGCAGAAGAATTAGAAGTTCAAGACCAGCTCTGACTAACTAGCAAATTAAAGTTCAGCTCCAGCCTGGGCTACAAGAGACCCTGTCTCAAAACAACAAAGTAACTTTGTATTCTTTGTTCTCTATTCTAGATATGCTATTAATAACTGACTAGCCAGTTTGTTGATATATCAATATATATGTACATTTACACACACATACACACACACACAGTATCCTGGAATCCTTAGATGATTGTGGAAAAATGTTTGTCACAGCTTGGGGGTGAGGATTTCCACTGGTTACAAAAGAGATCAAACAACTGCACATCATTTTCCTGTTAAGTCAAAGACATGAGTGACACTGGCTTTGTCAAGCCCAAAAGTGTGTCTATTCACTTGAGGATACGGTTTATATATTTTCAAATTTTTATTTATTATAAGTTTTTAAAATGTGTGTAGGTGTGTGTTCACACACATGTGAATGCTACTGCTTGAGGAGTCCAGAAGAGAGTATTAGATTTCCTGCAGCTGGAATTACAAGCCATTGTGAGCTGCCCAATGTGAGTGCTGGGACGCGAACCTGGGTTCTTGGCAAGAGCAGTACACAGCCTATCTGTGGAGCTATCTCTCCAGCAGCCCAAAATGGTTCTTAATAAAAGGCACAATGTCTGAAGGAGAACCAAAATTTTATTCACATTATGTAAAAAAAATGAAATGTAGATGTAAGAAAGTGTGGTGGTACACTAGTGTAACATTCAGAAGGCTGGAAGGTAAAAGGTTGCTAGGAATTCAAGGCTAGTTAGGGCTATAGAACAAGACCTTGTTTAAAAACCAACAAAACAAAATATATTTAAGTCCCAAGCAACCAGTCCTAAACAATATACATATGAATGCACTAAATGGACCCAGCAGGCTGTGTTTATACATCACACTCACACACACACCACACACATGCACACACTCACACACTCACACACACACACACACACACACACACAGGTACCAATAATTAAAGAAGAGGTCATGAATTTGAGGAGTGTGGGAGACAATTATTAAAAAGAAATATTTGTCTACATTTGTTTACAGTCTGGCAATCTTATCACTGTTGGGGGAGTGAGGCAGAAGGATTGCCTTGAACTGAAGGCCAGTCTGGGAGTGGAAAGGTGGTGGGGAGGGAGTGGGACATTTGCTTAAACTCCACAGGAAATTTAAAAAGCACACAGGAAACACTTCAAACTTTTAACCTCTTTATTGGCAGAATATACTGTAATAAATATTATAAACGAAATCCAAACGTTAATTGGTAATAATGGAGAAAATATAATGCAGTTTAATAGCTCCCACACTTCCACCTTTCTACAGCTTCATTTGTTGCCTCCCTATATATTAAGCCATTTGAATATGTCTAGTCTGGTGAATTATTTTCAGTATGTCCCATTCTCTCCCTTCAACCTACTGCTACATTTCATGTCTCCATCTCCACCAATCCACTAAAATTGTCCTCAGAGGGCATTAATAATGTCCACGCCAAATATGCTTCTAGCATAGCTCTCTGTCCCTGTCTCTGTCTCTGTCTCTGTGATGTGTTACTGGTGAATGAACCTAGGGCCTTATGCACTTAAGCCACGTGCTCTACCACTAAGCTACCTCACTAGCCCCTGTTGTCAGATTCAGTGGTCATTTTTGAGTCTTTGTCATCTCTTAGCAGTGCTTGCCATTATCAACCATTCCCTCTTTTGGGTAATGGTTTACCTCTTGGGTTCCTTGAGATACACTATTCTGCTTTTTTGTTTGTTTTGATCTATTTGAGAAAAAGCATGAATTAACTTTACAGCAGAGATTGCAACATCCTCTTTTGTTTACCCCACACATTGTGTGTTTATTCACATTAATGCTAACACTTCCACAAGGCTACAGTCAATTAGAGATGGACATTCCATTCCCCTTTACCTTGTTATTTTTGAAGTTTTGCTTTTAGATTTAATTACTTTATGTGTATCAGTCTTTTAACTGCATTTATGTATATGGGTCAAATGCATGCCTGTTGCCCAAGGAGTTCAAAGGGGAGCATTGAATCCCTTGAAACTGCATTTAGGGATCGACAAGTGTTCTTAACTACTGAACCATCTATCCAGTCCCCTTTACCCCCTTTAGATGTAGCGTTATTTTTGCTTTGTTTGTTTGTTTGTTTGAGACAGGGTCTCACACTGTATCTCAGGCTGGTCTTGAACTTACTACATAACCTAGGCTGAGTTCAAACCCTTCAAGAGATCAAACTCAAGTTATCAGCAAGTGAGTGCCCTCAACTGCTGAGCTATTTCACTAGACCCACTGAGACTTTTAGAGGGTGTGTGACAATTCTTTTGCATTGTCTAGGTCATTGTACTATTGTGTAGCATCCTTATTTTTCCTGGACTCTTTACTACTCTGTATAGCCACACAAACAATTTTTTAAATTAATTTAAAAAGCAATAAAACAAAAACCTTCCATAAATTGTTGGCACTTTCCCTAGAGAGCTGTACATCCTCCTGTTGAGAACTCTTTGGAGGTATAGATAAGGCTTCAGGCCCTCCCAAGAGTCAGAGAAAGAGCTTGCTACCTAGTCAGTGTTACACCTGATGTGAGCCTCCTATTGGTTCTTTTCCTCTAGGCACAGCAGCACCATATGCCCCCTGCAGCAACAGGAAAAGCATTTGAATGAGGCTGAGGCCCAGCTAGAAATCTGGGAGTCAGGTAAAGCGAGGATGGAGTCCTTCTAAGAAAGAATAAAGAGGGTCTAGTATGTGTTTGGTATGTAGGACCAAATAGGTATTCTGGGGCTCAATTTAAGGGTAGCCTGCTCTGCCCCTCTGCCTACTAAACTAGGCTGGACAGCATCCTTGACAACCAACCTTCAGTTATCCGTGTGGTATAAAACGCACAAATTTTGTAGTCAGACCACCTGAGTTCTACCCCTACTTCAACTACTCATTTGCCTTGGGAGTTATTTAGTACCTTGGTGACTTTCTTCATTTGTAAAATGGAGATACCAGTAGTATTGTAAGAGTTAAATGATCCATGCATAGTGGTGCACACCTTTAATGCCACACTCAGGAAGCAGAGGCAGGCAGATCTCTGTGAGTTTGAGTCTGGTCTACAAAGCCAGTTCCGGGACAGGACAGCCAGGTTTTTTGCACAGAGAAACCCTGCCTTGAAAGGAAAAGAAGAATTAAATAAGTTAATATATGTGAAAGTGCCTGCAATGGGAACTAACCCACGGTGACCCTTTACAAGTCTTCCGTACCACTATTCATGTAGCGTGAGACTGGCACATCACCCCAACCTACAAAATGAAGATCTCAAAGAACCCAACTATGAAGTTGTCCAAGTCCACAGAGTTCAACCTAGCATAGAATATTTGCAGGTAACCTTGTTTTCTCATCTTCCCATTGCATCCTTAGATTCTGACACATCCTCACTTTACAAATGCAGAAACTGAACCACAGAGACCTTTATTAACTTTTCCAAGGCACCTGAGTCATTGGACTAAGACTAGACTTAAAAGAAGGACATTGAGGGACAGGATTTATGCACCTGCCTCTCAGGACGGGGTCCAGCTTCATGAGTTTTTTGCCACCTTCATCATTTGACTGAAGCTGTCTGAAAAGACCAGACAGTTAAACTGTGCTCAGAGACTCAAACTATACAAAAGATCAGATTTCCATTTTGTTTTGTTTTTTGTTATTTTTAATTGGTTCTCCCATTTTTTTTTTCCTCCTTTTTTAAGGAGTCTGTGTGTATGCCTAAAGGCCAGAAGAGGGCACCAGATTTCATTACAGATGGTTGTAAGCCACCATGTAGTTCCTGGGAATTGAACTCAGAACCTCTAGGAAGAACAGTCAATGCACTTAACCTCTGAGCCATCTCTCCAGGCCCCAGATTCCCATTTTGTGGACATGTTTACTATACACACCCTTCATCTTCTGTTAGATACATAGTCTCAGTTTGTTGACAGTCATTTCTGTCCCGCCAGGTCCCCACAGT